TATGTGTGAGAGTTTTTATCAAAGCTCTGTTTGTAGTGCAGGTAAAGCACCTTATTTCCTATTTGGCCATTGTGAATAGGGAAATCCAGTTACTGAAGAGCCTCTGTGACACCTTGGTTGGCTCAGTTTGCTCTGGGAGGCACTGGGGTTGATTCTGAGCTCTGGAGAAGGTGCTGTGGCTGCAGTGGGTCCATACAGGCTGTGGGTGCTCTGCATTCACCTGAGAAGTTCTGGGCTGAGGTGCTGGTTGGGAAATGGGCCATGAAACTGCTGCCCATGCTCTTGCTCAGTGAATGGATTCCAGGATATGAGTGTCTGACTGTTTGCTTAATGTGCAGTCCTGTAATCCACCCTGTGCAGCTTTAATCTCTCTCTGATGAGGCTTCCAGTGCAGAGAAAATGTGTTTGCTCACTGCTGGGTAACCCTTTGGTGTGGAGGACAGGCCATAATAATGAAAAGTAATTCCAGCAATAGCAGCAATGTGCCTGGGATCCATCAGAACCGACTGAGGCATTGGTGCAATCTGTGGTGTCTTTCCTCTGCACAGAAATCCTGTCCTTGGGAGGAAGAAGCTGCAGCCTCATCCGAATATAATCCAGGTGATCCGAGCGTTCACATCCTCTGTCCCTTTGCTGCCTGGAGCCTTTGCTGATTATCCTGATGTCCTTCCATTGAGCCTGAACCCCAGAGGGATCGGTCACAGCCGCACGCTCTTCTTGGTGATGAAGAAGTAAGTGGAGAGAAGCTGGTTAACGTGACTTGGGCACTCTGTCCCTGCAAAGCTTGGGTCTGGGCTGCTGCCAAAGAGCAGAGTATGCTCTTGGAAACGCCTCCCAGGACCTGTTCCAAGTTCTTGAGGTTCTGACTGTGCTTCCACAATGAAGACAAACCGTTCTTTTTAATAATTACCCCAAATTAAAGTGAGAAATGTGGAGTTTGTCCCCATTTGTCTGCCCTTCTAAGTCTGAGCTTCACCCCTAGTCTGAGCACACTGCTAGAGATGGAGTAGAATCAGTAATGAGATGAGCCAACAGTGAGGTTGAGCTGCCAGTGATAAGCCTCCAGGATGCTAATTCCCATTTTTTCCCTGTTCTACCTAGCTACCCCTTCACGCTGCGCCAGTATCTGCAGGAGAACACGCCGGATGTTCGCCTGTCCACGGTGATGATTCTGCAGCTCCTGGAAGGCGTGGACCACCTTGTTCGACATGGAATAGCACACAGAGACCTCAAGTCTGACAACATCCTGGTTGAATTTGATTCTGGTACGTAGATCCCTGAGGATAAAAGCCAGTTAATTCACAGAAGTGATTTGATCACATTGGTATTCGGGGAAGTCTCACCCGGCTGTGTGTTTGGGGGAAGAAGCATCAAACCTTTTTGAATAATCTCAGGTTTAGTTTTTAGCTTAGTATTTGCTGTGAGAGCAGCAATTCATCGATTCTGTCTGTGCCTGAGGTTTTGGATCATTAGCATGGACATAGTGTATTGCTGAGATGATGGATTGCATGAGCACAGCCAACATTGACTGGAACATCCGGGAACGCCACATTTGGGATGCTGCAGGAGCCTTTGCTTCAGGCTCTTGGTTCTGTCATCTCTTCCAAGCCAGAGAGTACAGAGAGCCTCTTAAAATCTCACAGCCAGGTTAATGGTGCTGCACCCTGGGATGATGAAACATGGGTTGGGAGGGGAGGGATCCAGCATTTTCTTCTATGTGTTCTCCTGTCAGCCTCTAACAGCAGTTTGAATTACCTGAGCTCTTTTTGGGTGTGATTGAGATTCCAGCTGGCAGGAGCAATAGGAGGTAGGCAGGTGTGATTAGGCGTGGAAGAATTTGGTTGAAGAGTATCAGGTAGAGAGACACAGAGAGACCACTGGAATCCACCCTGCCTTCCTGGAGACCAGCCCAAGAGGTGACAGAGGATTCTCTGTTCCCCAGGGCTCAGGATTTAGAATCATAAAATGATGGAATGGCCTGGGCTGGAAGGGACCTTAAAACTCTTCTCATTCCAACCCCCTGCCTTGCACAGGGACACCTCCCACTAGACCAGGTCACTCTGCTGAATGTCTTTGCCCACAATCTAACGAGGGGATCAAATTCCCCCTCAGTCAGTTTGCAGGGGACACCAAGCTGGGTGTTGATGTGGTGTTTGGTGCTGCCAGGTCCTCCCAAACTGAGCCCTAACTCTGGCAGCTCTGTGTTGTTCACAGCTGGCTGCCCCTGGCTGGTCATCACTGACTTTGGCTGCTGTTTGGCGGATGAAAACATTGGCCTGAGGCTGCCCTTCACCAGCTCCTACGTGGATCGGGGTGGCAATGGCTGCCTTATGGCACCTGAGGTAAATCCCTCTGTAGCAGTGCTTTGTGGTGCTGGTTTTCTGCTTGTCCTGTTGTTGGGGCTAAAAGTTTTGGTGGCATAGAAGGTTTGTGTCCTGCCTTGAGTTAGGCTTGGTAAACATCTCTGCTGAACTATGTCAAATAGACACCTTGAGCTCTAACAGGTGAAATGTAATCAATTGGTGTTAAGAGGCAGAGTCAGCTTTTCCTCCCCTCCCCTGAATTTACTCTTTAATATTTATTCAGGCTCCTTTCCATGTACCTATTAAGAATTTTATGCAGCAGTTGCAACAGTAGCTTTTGGCTAAAGTTCAAGACTGTTGTGAAATTATTTACAGTTCCTTTTTATTTCTTTGATGATAAGAAATAATAAAAGCCAAGACACCCTTAACTGTCTGCTGGACCTGGAGCACCTTGCTGTGGTGTTGGTTGTTCATCTGCAGGTCTCCTGTCTCCATAATTCCAGCAGGAGATAGCCCTTGGAACTCTGGGAGTGCTGGTCAGGGACAACAGCTAAAGCCTCAGTGCAATGTTCAGACTCCTCCCAGCATCCCAGTGGGCTGAGCAGTGCCAGAGGCTTAGAGCATGCCAATAGGGAATATTTACAGCACAGATTCAGATGCAACCTACCTTTGGGTTCAGTGTCGAAGTTTATTACAGGGAAAATACAGGTTTGAGCATTAAAAATAAAATTTCAGCACAGAGGCTGCGCTCGAGCTGTTTATTTGAGTAGCCCCCTCTCTGTGGCAGGTGATCACAGCCTCACCTGGTCCAGGCACAGTGATCAACTACAGCAAAGCTGATGCTTGGGCTGTTGGAGCGATTGCCTACGAGATCCTGGGCCTGGCCAATCCTTTCTATGGCCACGGGGACTCCAGTCTGGAAAGCAGAAGTTACCAGGAGGACCAGCTGCCAAGCCTGCCCAACCATGTGCCCCTCGAGGTGAGGCAGGTGATAAAGATGCTGCTTCAGAGAGATCCCAACAAGGTAAGAAGCTGTTGCCTTCAAGATATCCTCTTTGGGAGTACCCCTGGCAGATCATTTTGCCTTTGAGGGCTGTGGGTACAGGGGTTAGGCCAGATCTCACTGCAGGATCAATGGATGACATAAGGATCAAAGCCAAAAAAGTCTTTGCTGAGTGGTGCTGAATTGTTTCAGATGTTTGTGTCAGGACCAGACCTCGCACTGGAGGGTTCCACACAACATTATATATGTACAGTAGTAGTCTGAAAGAGCTTTCTGATTCACAGGGTGTTGCCTTTGGGGGGGCTTCAGGGAGTTTTGGAGGTGCCAATGCTCCGTGCTGGTGATGTGGCTGAGTGTAGCAGGATCAGCTAACCTCCCTCCCCTTCCCTCCCCTTCCTCTTGCAGAGGTTGTCTGCGAGGGTGGCTGCGAACGTGCTGCACCTGAGCCTCTGGGGTGACAGTGTTGTGGCATCCAGGACCCTGAAACCTGACCAGATGATCGCCTGGCTGCTCTGCCAGTCTGCAGCCACCCTGCTCACCAACAGGCTGGCAGAGAAGAGCCAGGTAGAAACCAAAATGAAGATGTGCTTCTTGGCAAACCTCGAGTTTGAAGACCTCTGGGCAGCAATATTCCTGTTGCTGGCATGGAGAAGCCACTCGGGGTGAAGGAACCACCTGGAACACGAGCATCCCACATAAATGGCACTTTCTAAAGGCACTTAGGAACCTGTCCTTTCTGTCTGTCTGCAGTCCTGTAGTGCTTTAGAGAACGAGCTGCAGGCCTGTGTTTAGGAGCTTGAATTTCTCTCTAGCAAGTGTTAACCACGCTGCTTTTGTGTCCCTGCTAGAGGAGATGCCCTTCTTGCTTCCTTACTCTCTGGGGGGACGGGAGTGTGGACCTTGCAAGTGTCCAGAGGTTTGTGGTTGGTTTTGTTCCCGTTTGGGAATTGATTGACTTGTAAATTGTGTGTTGAGTGAAGCAGATTCCTTTCAGAGGGGTGACTGGGAGGAGGCACTGTCTGGCTGCATTTTATAGAGAAACAATTTAACACACAGAAATCCAAGCTGACAAAGGGAACTGCAGTCTCTGTTCTTGGGGTAACCATGGTCGTTTGAAACCCATTTTCTTCTGAGCTGTGAAATGACAGCCTGAAATCTTCCTGATGAGGTGCTGCCTGGTAACGTGAGCGTCAGCAGCAGTAAAAACCTCGCAGTTGTACGCAGGATAGTGGAAGCACATCATCCTCAAATCCCGCTTATCCTTGTTCTTAACTGTTGTAGCTCTGTGGTGGTGGCTGCCCCAGGGTCCAAGGCTGAGTCAGACTCTCCAGTTAGGGATAATGCTCCAAACAGAGTGAGGCTGGGCAGCAGCCCCTGCTTGAAGAGCTCAGTGTGATGCTCTGCTCTTTTACCTGTCTGTGTTTCCTTCAATGAAATAATATCCTTTGGTGTGGGGGACAGAGACATCGATCTTTAAATAACAGCCATGTTTATGAAACAGCATTCAATTTCATGGCTATAATTGTGTTTAGAGGAACTTGGGGAGAAAGTTATTTATGCTTGTTGCACAATAAATTAAAGATTTAATGTGGCTGTGGCTGCGTGGGTTCTCTCAATCCAATTTGGGCTGTGGAGCATTGGTTCCGGGGTGTGTTAAACACAAATTCAGCTCTTTCCAGTGCTAACTGTGGAACACGGTGTTCTACTCCAAGGGGAATTTCCTAAAGAGGAACAGACCTTGCCCTAGGGATGTGTTTTGTTCTCTGCTGTGTGGTAAATCACTGTCTGCTCCTGCAGTTTCCTGCTCCTGCAGGTGGATGACAGTGGCTGATTCCCCTAATCATCACAGGGTAACCTGCACTCAGGGTTCTGCACATTGTTCCAGTGCGGCAATGAGCACAGGGCCTGGTGAATTGGGGGAAATGAACTCTTGGGCTGCAAAAGCTGCAAAAAAAGGCCTTTGTAACATTGATCTGACCCAACCAAAGTGTCTGCTGCTGTTTCTTACATTACTGAGCTCTTGCAGTGTGTTGCTGCTGCCTTTGCTTTCTGTGTGCCTGGGTCTGGCAGTGAGTCCCATGCCCTGGGCCCTGTGGAGCCTTTTGAGGAGTAAATGCTGTTGCTGTGTGGTGGATCTCTAAGCCCCCTTCCTGCCATGAACATCATTCCCGTGCCTTTCTCTCTCTCTCCCAGGTCCTGTCTCTATACAAGTAGGGAGTAGAAATTACGGGCTGGAGCCATCCAGTATCAAGTGTGTTTGTATTTGCCCAACCAGGGTTTTATCTGCACTGATTAACTCCACTCATTGGAAACTTGCTTTCCCTGGAATCTGTTTCAATTCTGTCCTCAAAAATGGCCTAAAATGCTTGTCCTGCAGCTTGTCCCTCAGGTCCTTAAATCCCTGTTAATGCTTCCCCTGTTGCTTGCATTTTGTCCCCCCTGTGGTTCTGCTGAGGTCAGACTTCCCTTTTGTTTGCTTTCCCTTCTGCCTTCTGCTAACGAGACATTTTTATGATTTTTCAGCATTCTAGGTGCTTTTGTGGAGTGCAGGTTAAAAGTACAGGCCGTTAATGCAACAAATGCTACTGTGCTGTCTACAAATGCCCAAGGGGAGCAAACTGGGACATCTCCCAGCATGTCCCTCCCACCCTGTCCCACTAATCCCTGCACAGGTTCTTGCCCCTCACTGCTGTGTTTGTTCCCAGTGTTTGCCAGGACTATGCCATTGGGAAAGGGTTTGGCTGGGAGGGTGATTGTGGAGGCTGGGCTGGATTTCTGCCCTTCCCTGGGCAGTGCAGTGTCCAGTGCACTTTGATCCCTGGAGGGAGGCTTGGCAGAGGCAGCTGGCACTCTGCCCAAGCTGGGAACGGGCTCCACAGCACGCCTTGCTGCCTTCCCAGTGAGAGAGAGGGTGGGAGTGTGTGGGTCAGGATGAGGCCTCTGCTCTGGGCTGCCTGCAGCCAGCTGCTGCCCAGGGCAGCTGGGCTCTGTGCTCCCAAGCCAGCTGTGACCACCATGGTGACAGCATCACACCACAGCCTGCGGCCTCCAGCCTTTCTGGCTGCCTCCAGCTCCCCAGCCTGTGTGTCTGCAGGGCTCCTCCAGCCCCTGGTCCCAGGGAGCAGAGCCCCCAGCTGCCGGAGCTCACAGTTCAACGTGCCTCCCAGTGCCCTGCTCGTGGCCCGGCCTGTGGGGGTCTGCTCCATGATGAGGCTTCCCGTGCAGGCGTCTGCGGAGGGACTGGACGTGGCGTTTGTGGGTGTCCCGCTGGACACAGGCACGTCCAACCGGCCGGGAGCCAGGTAAGGGCCAGCCAGGGAAGCTCATGCTTCCCTCTGGCCATCGGGCACGGCTCTCCTGTGGTGAGAGGGGTGCTGGGG